AGAAGGAATGAACAGACACTTGCTCAAAGAGGATATACAGACCAGCAACGGGTATAGAAAAATATGTTTATTGCCATTTGTAATTAGACAAATGCAAATGCAAATGAGATATTAATTCAGCAGTGAGATGATATATATCAAACGGACTGGAGAGAACTAGGATTGGCAGGGGCGTGAGAAAACAGTAATCTTAAGAACAGCTGGACAATCACTTTTCTATTTTTTAATGTCTTGATTTCTAGAAGCAGGATTAACTGTTCTGGAGGCTTCATAATTGCATTTTTCTCTGCTTTGTATTTCATGTAGGGTTCGTAATTTATAAATCTTCCTGCATTATTGTCATGTGAAAATTGAAAACAGTAATATCACTTCAGCTGTTACTGATAGCTCCAAAGTCTGATTAAAATTTCAGATGCTGGGAGCAAGAGACACAGAACTGGGAAAGGTGCCTGCCGACCACATTGCAGGCCTCAGTTTCCCCATGCTATGTATGCGATTCACCAGCCCCACTTAAGGGGTATCCCCAAAGAATCATGAGTAAGCAGAGATCGACTGGGTGTGACCCAACCCTGCTCTTCGCAAAAGTGCTCAACGTGAAAGAGCACAGACATTGCCTGTCCCAAGTCCTGGGTTGGATTCAGATCGCACGTGACAGCAAGCATCTCTGGCGATGGCCCTCACAACCAGCAACAACAATATAAACATTATTAATTGATTGATTGATTGGGGGTTTGGGCCAGATCCGGTGGTGTTCAGGGCTTACTCTTGGCTCTGCGCTCAGGGATCACTTCTGGTGGTGATTGGGAGACCATGAATTCGAAATCAACAAATGGGAAAATCATGCAAGTTCCTATGTTTCTGCCTTATTTGTTCCTTTGTAGAGGCCAGGAGGAAACAGGCAATTATTGTCCCAACTGCACAAAAATAAAGAAGGATTCACACATTTCCTTTGTCTTTCTAGTCTCAGTCTCCTTGTTGCGATTGGACATGGTTGACGCACAAAAGCACTTAGGACATTCGTAACAGTATCTGTGTCTCCTAAATAGGGTATAATAGTTTCCAGTAACGGGTGGAGGACTCTGTCCCTTTTCGGTCTAATGACACTCACTCAGTTGCATGATGCCCTTGGGTGCCATTTGTCTCATTTGATGAAAGCAAATATTGGTATTGAAAGTTTCACTTTAATTTGAGCAACATTAGAACTGCTTAATGGTAATAGAATTTTGAGGACTGGGAAGAGCAGGTCCCATTTGAGTGATAAAGAGCAGCATTAGAAAAAGATAGAGGAGACGATGAATGAGAATTTGAGTGATGCTAGATATCCATTCTAAAAAAAAATGGAAGAAGACAGCCGTATCATAGCACTAGTTGAAACTGCTGGAAAAAGAAGTGGTTTTGGTGTTACAAAGATTTCGGTTTAAATGTCTGATAGATGTTCCAAATTCAATCTCTCCAAAGTGAAAGCTTGTGATTTCCACACAAAACCTATATAAGACACCCAATTAGAAGATTAGGACAAAATTGCTAAAATAGAATTGAAATAACAGCAGAAACCATTTGCATACTTTCTTGAAAACAACCCTGAAGATTTCTTATTACTGATGAATCATGCCCAAATTTCCTTTCATACCAGGATTGGTCTAACTAAACCATTTTAGTTCACAATCAATCAAGAGGGGCGGGGTGTGGAGGGGGTTGAGAAAGGATGAAATTTGTGAAAGGGAAACTTAAATCACTAGAGAACAAAATTAGCCTCCCAAATGCTATGAAGAATAAGTTGTAATAAAATTTTTAATCTTCATAACAGTGCCATGAGAAAGGTAAATTGTAGCTGTCACATATACTGAATCTAGTTATTAAAGTGCTTGAGGGAGCGTCAAGGTACAATGACATCTGCTTTGTTATTTATTAAAAGATTAATTATTCTTACCCTCTCTCTGCTCCTCATGATCTTTGCAGGTTACTGGAAGCGCTCAGGCCTCACATGTGTATGGTTTAGAAAGCATTAGTCATGGTTCCTGAGAATTAATCACACCCAACTCATATCTGAACTCTCATTCCTCCTTTTTGCTACAATGAATAGAGCATTATTGGTTCTGTGACATAGCAAGCCCTTTTGTTATACACCATAACACTCTCATTTCTATTTTGGGTCTACAAGATCATTCAAAATGGGCTACATTCATGTTATAATACATGCCAGGCTTAAAAATGTATCTGCTCCTATTTTGGTTGGATCTTATAACACATTTCTTGAAGAAAAAAAAGCAAGCTTCGAATCTTTTGCTCTCCTATAATCCAGTCCAAGAAAGATCAGGCTCCATAATTCATTGAAATAATTCTGATAAGGTCACCAAGTAACTTCCGTGTTGGAAGTCCAATAGTCCTTTTTCGTACTTTGATTCCCAGCACTTCCAACAGATAGAGATAATCACTTGGTCACTTATTTATGTTCATTGAATTGCATCAGGGATACAATGTCATGCATCTTAACAATACATAACATCCCATTATAATCAAAACCGAAGTTTCAGTATCTTTCTAGTACCATCCATTGAACTCCTCCATCCTAAACCTCTAACCACCCTCCTCTCTAAACGAAGCTCTGTGGGTAGAATTCAAGAACTGATTTTACTTGCTTTGTTCTTTTAAACCCTATCCATGACTAAGATCACATGATTTTTATCTTTCTCCCTCTGATCGATTTTGCTTAACATAAGCCTCTAACAGTATCATCATGTTGTAGGAAGCACATGATTTCAAAACACAAGATCTCATCTTTTCTTAGACTGAGTAGTATTTCACAGTGAATATATATCCCAAGTCACTTTCGAAAATCTATTCAGCAGTTATTGAACAATTGAATGATTTTATTTCTTAGCTATTGTGAACAGCACTGCAATGAACATCAGTGTGTGTATATCTTTTTGGATTACTATTTTTGCGTTCATTAGTAACTTAGAGTCATGTCATGTGTCTTAAAAATACATAAAAATAGGTAAAATAGTTAAATGGACCCTTCTTTTGGGTGAAGGCCAATGGACACATACAAACATTTCATCATTACTTATTACCAGAAAAATACAAATAAATGTGACAATGAAGTATAGCTAGAACTTCAGCAAATATTCCATATAAAAAAGGCCAGAAACAACAAATGTTGGGACAGGTGTGGGAAAAGGGAACACTTATTCATTGCCAGTAGGGATGTAAATAGTTTCAGACCCTATGGAAAAAAATTATTGCTATTTTAAAAATATTTTTAAAAACCTTTAAGTTACCAGCAACTGAATTCCTGGGCATTTATTGAAAAAGCACATAAACAGAAATTTGAAAAGATATGCATGCTTAGTTCATGGTAGTACTATTTTCAACTGCCAAGATGTGGAAACAAGTTGTGGAAAAAACTCAAGTGCCCAATGACAAAGTGAACGAGCAAAAATTGTAATATACACACACAATGGAATGATGTAGTATATATACACAATGAAATATTATTCAATTAGTAGAGAAGACAGACCCTTGCCTTTTGCTGCAATAGGGATGGAACTGGAGGGGCTCATGAGAGTAAAATTAGAAAGAGAAAGGATAAGGGCTATGATAAAAATCACTCCTCTATGAATATGGAGAAGGAAAGCAAGGAACAGGCAGAACCGAAGAAAATCTAACCCTTGAATTCAGGCCCCATGACTGAGATCCCCAGGGGTTAGGGGAGAGAAAGGGACGAAGATACTGGTACTTTGCTGGTGATGGGGGAGTGGTAGTATCGATTTTGAGAAACTATAAAGCTGCACCCCTAAGAAACACAGAGTCTTATAAACCAATACTCCAGCAACAACATTTTTTAAAAATTAGAAGATGATTAACTTATAATGGTAGAGCAGAGCTGAGTTCACAGTAATGTAAAATGAACATAAGGCACACAATTTCCCCTTTGGCCCTGCTCCCCACGCCCCACATGCAAAGTCTCCTCCATCTCCACAACCCCAATGGGGTGGCCGCATCTGTTGTAGCCTATGAGTGTTCTCAAACACATAACAGGCCCCCGAAGACTACAGTTATTGGCAGGGTACACTTTCGCCACACATTGTATGGGGTTGGCCAAGTAAGTGTACTACGGACACATAGACCAATTATGTGTCAGATATAGAGACCAGATCCACTGACCTCAAAGCACTGTCCTGGCTACCCCTCCTCCACTTCCATTCCACCCTCAGGCCCTGTCAAGCACAGTATTGTTTAATAAAAGGAGCAATTCAGAAGTATTTATCACATAAAACAAATTACGCAAATTCATGACATTATTCAAGGTAACTTATTCTGTATTCCCACCAGGGAGAAGTGAGAGACTCTATTTAGCTTATTCAGGGATTCTAACCACTCTAACTACCTAGCCATGCTCGGATGTTATCACCAAAGATAACGAGGCAGCTCACCGCGCATTGTTCTAGGACCGTTATTTTTCTTCCTTGCATGTTTTCAATTCTTGGGAAATGAATGTTTCAATCAGTGAATTCATACACCACCTCTGAGTACCAACACATAAGGGCGACTCTTAAGCCTGTAAAGCTCACAGCTTGTTCTTTAACTGTGGCATTAGTACCACGAAACCCAGTCTCAGAAAGTTTTATCTTCCGAATAATGCCCAGAGTTTAAATCAATATAACACATACACAATTAACCTGAACGGAGAGAAAAAAAAAAAGAGGGAAAATGCTTACTCAGCACTGTGCAAAGGGACAGGGTTGAGTTATGAGTCATCTCATTTTGCAAAGTAGCAATAAAAATGCGTCTTTCACTCTGCAGAGGTACCACTGGCCTTTACAGTAGATGATTAAAATAACGGAGAAAAATAACTTTGGGGTTTTGTCAGAACAGAGCCATTTTATTGTGGCCATGCGTTTTTGCTTCTGCAGATTGCATCTATCAAAAGCAATGCCTCTACAAGCTGTTGCCCAGAGTCGAGAAAGTCCTCAGAGATTCCAAACACAGTGCCTTACCTTATGAAAGTTTCTGAAATACGCGGCTTTCTCATCTGGAAATTTCTCTAGCCTTCTGGGTCCTTTACTAGAAGCCTTCTTGAAAACCAACCAGCATCGTCTGAAAATCTGAAAGCAAACAGAGAAACCTTATTATCTCGCTTTTTTACACAATCTGAGTAGCATAAGACATTTATCTATAAAATTGATACATTGGGGGATACTCATTTAAAAGTGTGCTTTTTGTACAAACAGCAATTTTCCTGTCACGAGCATTGTTAGGCATTAAAATTGCTGCAAGATTTCAAACAATATTTATCATAAAATGAATTTTTGTGAAAACATTTCATATTATGATGTTATTCTGTGAGCTGGTTTCAATCATATTTAATCTAACTAAATTATGTGGGTGTAAATGTTGTATGAGATATTTTTCCTGCCATCGTAGTTATTGACGGGTTCTGTTTTCCATGATAATGCAGTTACAATTTACTCAAGTTAAACTTTCAGAACGTTCAACTTTCTTTCTTTGAGACATTGTATTTAAAAATTAACCTATCTTACAAGATTTTAGTTTCTTTAGAAAATAAACAAGTATCATTGAAATACAGAATGTAGTATTTCATAATGGACACATTGGTTTCAACTGTTATATTTTATAGTACCCAGAGTTTATTAAGATCTAATGACAATGGTTTTTAAATTTCTGTGATATTACCTTATATAAGTAAGTAAATCTAATGATGTTACAAAACCCTGGGGGTTGGGTGCCACCAGCAGGTCAGTTTGCACCTGTGGGGCAAGTGCATCAGCAGCTGGTTGGTACCTTCAGGCTTCCTGATAATCACAAATTGCTGCTATGCCTCTGACAGAACTCTAACAACTCTGGGCCAAGTTTACCAAGAAATTAAATGGCCGAAAGTTAGGTTTGTGGAGCCATGCCCACAAACTTCTTCCAGCTAAGCGGTACAAGCTCATTTATGGCTCTTGCTCCAGAGACCCGTAAAAATCTCAAAAGAGATCAAAAGCTACAGTTAATCTTGGACCCCTGCAAGGCTGTACAAACTGGGTAAAACAGAGGTGGGTGGGTCAGACTGGATCAGCCTGGTGCCCGCACAAGCAGAGCCCCTAGTGGTCACTTGCTCCCACAATCCAAAATCACCACCATACCCCTGGCCAAACTCCACCATCTTGGGACAGACCTCACTGAGATATTAACCTCTTGAAAATCCAGGTATGCGACTTTTGTGATTGAAATCTCCAGGCTTTCTTGGAATTGGGATGAACTACCCGGCCCCTCCTCCCACTTCCCAATACTCCTGGAAGCACTGGTAGTCACCCCCACAAACCAACTTCAGCACCACCATGTAAGCTCAACTACCATCCTTGCTTCAGAGATCCATAAATAAATCTTGAAAGAGATCAAAGGCCATAATTTATCTCAGACCCAAGCAAGAATGACTAGACTGGGGTAAATTGGAGGGGAAGGGTCAGCCTGGTGCCCATCCAAGCAGAGCCCCTGGGAGCCACTTGCTTCCATAAATCAAAATTGCCACCATTACCCAAGGCCAGACTCCATTGTCACAAGGACAGACCTCACCAAGACATGATCTGCTGAAAATTAGGGCATGCAGGTTTTGTGAGTGAAATCTCCAGGATTTCTTGGTGGTCTCGATGGGCGACATCCCCCTACTTCTCTGTACTCTGGAAGTCTCAACAGTCATATCCACACTCCAAAGTTGCCAACCAGTTAAAAACAGCTATTCCAGCCTTACTTTACCCCTAACAATACTGAATGCCCTGAACAAAAATGATAATCTCGTAGTACCTGTATTGCAAACCACAATACACCAAAGGAGAGAAAGGGCAAAAGAAGAAAGGTGCCTGACATAAAGACAGGTGGGTAGAGGGGTTTATGGGGGATAGTGAGAGGCAAAAGGGGATATTGGTGATAGGTAATATACACTAGTGGAGGGATAGGTGTTTGATCAACGTATGACTGAAACCAAATCATGAACAGCTTTGTAATGTCTATGACCATTAAATAATTTTCATTAAAAAGTCAAAGAGAAAAGATAGAAAGAAAGAGAAAGAAAGAGAATGGAAGGAAGAGAAAAATAAAGAAGGAAGGAAGGAAGGAAGGAGAGAAAGAAGGAAAGAAAGATTACAAAAAACCCTTCTATATATTCACTTCTATACTCCTTGAAGAATGGTACAAGGACCGTTCTTCTAGAATGAAATGAACCACGAATGTTCTTATTTCCCCCTTCCCATGGTCATTAAACGTTTTTAATGGGGACTGGAGTGATAGCACAGCGGGTAGGGCATTTGCCTTGCCTGCGGCCAACCCGGCCGACCTGGGTTCGATTCCTCCGCCCCTCTCGGAGAGCCCGGCAAGGTACTGAGAGTATCTTGCCTGCAAGGCAAAGCCTGGCAAGCTACCTGTGACCTATTTGATATGCTAAACACAGTAACAACAAGTTTCACAATGGAGACCTTACTGGGCCTGCTCGAGCTAATCTATGAACAACGGGAGGACAGTGCTACCGTGCTACCGTGCTACACTCCTTAAGATATATAGAGAGAGCATCTGTTCTTTAATATGAAGATAATGACAATATCAGGATTCACACACAAACATACATATCTGTGATTAAAAAGCAGAATTAGTAATTACATAAATGCAAAGCAGTATTTCTAAACTTTTATGTTTTAGGGTCAATTAGTTGGGCAAATTAACTACTACCTTCTCCCATGCTTGTAAAACTCTACCAGAGGCAAGATTATAATTAGCTTCCTTCTCAAGCATTAGAAAAGGTCTAGAACTGGCTGTAACTTCTAAATCTCTGCATATATATATTTTGAATATCATAAACAGTGCCTGCATGGAGACATTTATAGGAGGAAACTCCAAAAGCTGATATCATTGTATTTATCTTTATTTAAATGTGAAATTACTATACTGTTTCTTTTTAAAAATTTCATTAAAAATTAAATTGAGATTTATAAAGTTGTTGACAATAAGGTTTCCAGCATACAATGTCCCACCCTTCAATCCCCTCTCACACCACCCCCACTGACTGTATCTCACCCTCTTACCCCCTCTCACTCCAAAACTTGACCCTTCGGCAGACACATTTATAAGTTCAATTATTGTAATTTGTCTCCCAGCTTAAATGATTAGATGAATACAGAATGTGGCCCCACATTCAAAAAGTAAAGAATATGAAGGACTATTTAAAGGCATCACAGGACAGTCTCATTGTGAAGGAGAATAACAGGATAAGGAAGTGAGTGTCTCTCTTTATTTGACCTGGCTCCCTTCCTAAGTTCCTCTGCGGTAGTTTAGCAAAGCGCATGAAAGACACCCGGGGCTGATCATACGGATGCATCTCTCCCAGTGCACTTGTCTATCTAGAGGTTTCAGCTCTACCTGGTGGGTCACTTCTATCTTGGGGTCCTGGTGTCTCTCACATGCTTCCTGCCTGATCAGGCCCCTGGGCAGGAAAAACCTTCATAGGATCAACACTCAGCCCTTGGACCTGGCACCCTGCATATAGTGAGTTACTTGAAGTTTTCCCCAACTCCACTCTCAAAGAAAACGATACTTAAAAAAAGCATCACTATTGGTTTTACAGCCCTGTGGTTGCTTGACTTCTTCAGTTCCCATTTTATGGTAAAGAATTGTTTTTCGCACTTTAAGAGTATATTTTAAGAGCGAGCAGGTGCAGAAAACACCAAGAAGAGTTTCACAGAGTCGAAACTGATAACACTCAATGATAACTGACAACCTTCGCTCACTCTCTGGCTGACTCAACCTTCTCCTTGCTTCTGGAATCCTCATCCACTTGCACCTACGGCACACTGGGCAAGGGAAGATGAGGAGTCCACCCAGGAGGAGTCCACCCCAGATGAGGAGTCCACTCCAGGCTGTAGGAGTATTCCAGAGAGCAAGGGCACCAACAAAGGAGGTGCGAACTCCGCGTCACTAGAATCTTCAGAGTGGACATGCAGGGCTTCACAAGGGTCAGTCACATGTCTATTCCACTTAGTTTCCACAACACATTCCTCATTCAAGGCTAGGTCCTTGGAATGTTCCCAGTGTGGGAACTGCACCCATCATCTATTCTAAGTCTTAAGGGACAAGGAGCCTCTGCTGCCTGGGCCCAGCTGTCCACCAGGAGGTCTCCATGGCCCCCTGCATCCTCTCTTCCAATCCCCTCAACTCTGATCAGAACCTGGCAGACTCGCTGCTCCTGGCATGGAAACTGCAGATGTCATCTCAACAGACAGTGGGAGGAGCTCATGGAAGGACCTGATCACAGGAGGTTTTCAGAGACCTCTGTTTGGCATCGCGATGACTCCATGTGTGTTGCATGAGGTAGCCTAGATTCAAGCCTGCGCACTGCACGGTCCCTGAGTACTACTAGGAGTGATCCCTGCGGGATGCTCTGGAAACCTGCTCCCCAAAGTAAACCAAATAAAAAATGTCCAGCTCATTTCTCAGTGACCTGAGAGTAACAGCTACGGTTACTCTCAGAGTGGGACCAATTCAGCTCCAGTGCCCTGCTTCCATAACAAAGCATCATGTAAGAATAGTTTTTAGGGGCTGGAGAGACAAGACAGTAGGGAGGGTGTTTGCCTTGCATGTGGCTGACCTGGGTTCAATCTGGGACATCCCATACGATCCCCAAGCATTGTCAGCGGTAATTTCTGACTGCAGAGGCAGGAGTAACCCCTGAGTAAGCCAGGTGTGACCCAAAACCCAAAAATAAAAAAATCACAGTTTAAAAATTTTTATTTACTAACAGCTACATAGTACTCCATTGTGTAAATGTACCAAAGTTTCTTTAACCAGTCATCTGTTCTTGGGCACTCAGGTTTTTTCCAGATTCTGGCTATTGTAAACAGTGCTGCAATGAACAAACAAGTGCAGATGTCACTTCGACTGTACTTTTTTGCCTCTCTGGGATATTCCCATGAGCAGGGTAGGATTGGGGGGCGGGTTGGGGGGTGGGAGGGATACTGGGATCCGTGGTGGTGGGAAATGGGCACTAGTGGAGGGATGGGTATTTGATCATTGTATAGTTGAAACCCAAGCACAAAAATTTGTAAGTCTACAACTGTAA